TCAGAAGTTAAAAGACCAGTTGAAAGCTGAATTTGAAATGAAGGACTTAGGAGTTGCCAAAAAAAAAAATTTTAGGTATGGAAATTATTCGTGACAGGAAGTCTAGGATCTTGCATCTTTCTCAGAAAAGTTATATTGAGAAAGTCCTAAGACGCTTCAGTATGCACGAAGCAAAGTCTGTCAACACACCTTTTGCAGCTCATTTCAAGCTATCATCCGCTTTGAGTCCTACTAATGAGACTGATATGGCTTACATGGCACGTGTTCCATACTCTAGTGCTGTTGGATCTTTGATGTATGCTATGATCTGCACGCGCCCTGATTTGGCTTATGCTGTTAGCATGGTTAGTAGATACATGGCGAACCCGGGGAAAGAACACTGGAAAGCAGTACAGTGGATTTTTCGTTATTTACGCGGTACGTCTTCTATGTGTTTACGTTTTGGTAAATCTAACACTGGGGTGTTCGGATATGTTGATTCAGATTATGGCAAAGATTTGGATAAACGAAGATCAATTACAGGGTATGTGTTTACTCTAAATGGTTGTGCTGTTAGTTGGAAAGCCCAGTTACAGTCTACAGTTGCCCTGTCTTCTACCGAGGCAGAGTACATGGCGATTACAGAAGCAGTTAAGGAAGATATCTGGTTGAAGGGGTTATTTGGAGAACTCGATGATAGAATAAAGGTGACCACAGTTTTCTATGACAACCAGAGTGCTATCTTCTTGAGTAAAGATCAAATGTTTCATGACCGAACAAAGCATATTGATATTCGTTATCATTTTGTGCGGGATATCATTGAAAAAGGTGATTGTGTTGTGGACAAGATTCATACAGATTATAATCCCGCTGATATGTTCACTAAAAGTCTTCCTATAGCCAAGTTCAAATTATGTTTGGACATGGTGGGTGTTTCTGATCGCAGTTGAGCCTGAAGGCTCGTGGTGGAGGAAGTATTATTTATTTTTTCGGAAACAATTTTTTCTCTATATAAAATTGCAGGTTCTTATGGAAGTTTTAGAGTTTGGTGAGCTATAGGTTTTGACTAATCGTAAAGCATGACTTGCTTAATTTTGATGTCAAGGTGGAGATTGTGGAAAAGTTGCCTCCAAAATTAGCAAGTGGCAAATAGTTCAGGGGTTATTTCAGTAACTTATCATTTACTATTCATAGTTTGACTATGAATAGTAATATATATGGTAATTGAATATTGATGGACGACATATATATTGATATGTCAAAAATGGCGGCTTCATTTGAATTGAATTCTTTGACTACGCAACAGTCGGCCAAATAATTGTTTTGCTAAACAATTGTTTATTATTGTCAATGGACGGCAAATTTGGACGGTAAGAAAGTTGTCAAACATTACGGCAATTTGGTGTTAATTGGAAGAAACTTTACGGCTACTCTCCCTATAAATATCTGTGTTGCAGCAGAACAATAGGTAGAACACAACCAAAAATTATCCAAGTATATATAGAAAAGTATTACATATATATACTGATACACCACCGTGTATTTTAGCTCTCCCACTCTATTTTGTAATCTCTTTCATAATCCCTGTAAACACTGCAAATTATAGTGAATTGTTTCTCGGCTTCCTCCGCCCGTGGTTTTTTCCCGATTTGGGTTTCCACGTAAATTCCTGTGTCTCTATTCTATTTATTTTATTCGTATTACGTTGTGATTATTACGCTTTGATAATTTTTGATCCCATTCCGTATTGAGCTAATATTATTTAAGTCAATTTGGATCCGTCGTATTTTACAACAGATTGGATAAGTGAAGTTCTTAAAAGTCAGTTGTTTCGTATGGTGGGCAAACCTTGGACGCATCCATGTTCTGGAGGAGCTTGAATCCAAGGGGTTGATCAATAGGTCCAATCGATGTGGGTTCTGTATGAATGAAATAGTGGAATCGATGGATCATGTGTTAGTTAAGTGCTTATTTGCGGTGGATATTTGGAACCAAATTTTTTCTTGGGGCATTTGTGTGTTTTCCTATTTGTAAACTCTTTTGTTTTGGCCTCTTTTGCCTAGCTCCTTGCTATGCCTTTATGGTATTAATATTTTATTTTAATACATTCCAAAAAAAAATTGAATTACGTCTTTGAAGCAAAAAAAAACCATGAAAATATGGCAAGTTTTTTAAAATGACTTTTGAGAACAAAATGATTAGCAACTGATAGAGACCGATTTAACAGAATCGAGATGGTCAATCTTCAAGATAAGACCAATTCAAAATGGCTAAACTCCAAAAAAAAAAAAAAAATCATTAACATAGATGCTTTATACATAATTCTTCTACCCTTCATAATGCAATTGCATAAAGTAAAAGAAATACTAAAAATACGGGAATAGTGGTCCTAAAGACTAACCGTGATCCTACAACTAAAATTATGATACCTTGATTAAAGATAATGGGGAGTTAAACTCATGCAGGTGTTGGCGATAAAGGGAAACATCACAAAGTGTCACAAAAGGTGGTTACTAGTTCTGGCATGGAGGCGGCCTCAGGTAGCTATCAGCAACCTCTAGAACTAACAACCCTTCTAGAACGAGCAGATAGAGTTCTTATTGAGTAGTTGAACAAAAACCAGCAAAAAATATCAGACACAATTACACAAGGATTAATAATAGATAATTCGATGTCCATACGATTATATTGAATAATCAATTACAATTAATATAAACGTAAAAAACAACAAATTACTCCAAAAAGGAGTTTTATTAATAAAAATGAAACTATATAAAAAAAATTCTCATAATAATAAATACTTAGTGGATAATTTTTTTATAATCCTATAAGATCTAAATTTATTAATCAATTTCAAGTTACATTTGACAAAAAAAAGCAAAAAAAGAAAAAAAGAAAAAACGTTATTCCTGACCTCTGCATCATAACAGATACTATTCCGTCATCATTCTTCAAACTCAAATTCATAAGCAGGATCATCACTATCGAATTCCGAGTCGTCCATATCGTCGTCATCCTCGTTCCGATCCTCATCCTCGGTAATACTCGCTTCATCGATGTTCTCCTTGCGTCGTTCAGAAGCAGCCTCCTTCAACATCGAGTAACCGGCGGCATCATTACTAAATCCACGGGAAAAAGACACTGTTTGTGGAGCAAAACTGTTAGGGAGAAGATTATGGAAGTTGTAACTACTCCCCGGCGTTTCCGTTTGGACGATTGTTGCAGCTACAGTCGGGCGGAGATGGCGGTTGATGAGTGTTCGGATGGAAGAACCGCACGATCGGATCATTGACGGCATATTGAAATGTAGTGGAACGCCGGAGGCGACGGCGAGACGTTTAAGCTTTTAAGGGGTTTTGATGGAGGAGCGTTTTAGAATTGGGCTTCTTACGTTGAATGTTTTTCATGGGCCCATCGAGATCCGTGTAATTCAGGCCGAAGACGATCCATAAATGAAAAGGTTATGAATAAATTCTTTCCCAATCGGGGGAAAGGTACGAAAATCTTCGAATTAAGATTATTAATTGACTACAAACAGAAAAATGCATAGATTACATATGAAAAATGAAAATTATTCTCTCGGTTACAAATCCTAGAAATTCAAATGATCGATTACTCATTACTTACCACAGGTACCATTTCATACTCAACAGTCTCCCGGAATCTCTTCGGAAGCATAAATCGACCACCAAAACGTTGCTGCAAGAACACGATCACTGCAAACACAACGCCTCCACAAGCAATGAAAACATACCAAGAAGGTGAGTAAAAATCTGCTCTTGGATTTGCATATAAATAGAACCGATCAAATTGATGACTGATGTTCTTTTGACCCCTATAAAGATCATACACATGAGGCAGTAATCGAACAAACGTGTTCCCTACATAAAACAAACCAGACAAAGCACTCCCCTTTGAAATCTTAAACATGTTAAATACGATTTGTGGGAATAGGAATCCGTCTAGTGTTAACCCTGTACAAGACCTCAAATCACCCCAGATTGATCGACTGCTTGAGATAATGTAATCATTGTTCTTCCAATTCGCTAGCAACATGATCGATCCGCCAATTATATAAATCGGTAAACAGATTACAAAAGTCAGTATCTCATGATTCCAATGTTTTTGTCCGTTTCCGTTGTTATCGTCATTCCCAAGTTTTGAGTTCCATGTACCCAAGTGTAAGAATCACCATCATCAAAACCGAAATCAGTGGAATCATTTCGGGATTCTTCTTGACATGAAAAAGTTGTAGGACAATGAAAAAACACGAAAGTGTCACTGAAATCAAATCCATAATGATTTCCAAATCCATTCTCCATATCGATTTCATTGCTTCTGTTTTTGTGTAAGTGAGAGAAGTTACATATAATTTGTCGAAATACAAAACATCTGTTTTTTTCACGTAAGCTTTGTATACTTCGGGGTTGTTTGGCAGAATCTGAATTTTTAAGATCTGAATTTTTAAGAGGTCTGAATTTCTAAGAGGGTCTGAACTTTTAAGATCTGAATTTCTAAGAGGGTCTGAACTTTTAAGATCTGAATTTTTAAACGTTGTATGGTTGGAACATCTGAATTATGGTGTTGAATGATAAAGACGACATTTTTACCCTTTTGTGCTATTTTTTTGTTGAATTCAACGTTTTTGTTTATACAATAACCAAACAACTTCTTGAATAATTAAAATCCAAATAAAATTCTACAGAAGAGTGCTTGAGGTTTCTGATGAAAACATTTGTTTGAGAAAGTATTTTTTGTTCATATTGATAATTAAGATTTGACACTAAATTGAGATTGCAACCAAAACTTAACCACAAATTAACAATTAACATCAATTCCCAATGGTATAGTGAATTCCATACTGTTACAACTGATTGATGAAGAAGAATGATGGATAAATTACAGATGTGATAAAAAAACATAAGTTGGGTGTAAATTTATTACCATGCTACATGACAATAGAAACATACATACATGACAATGAACAAAAAAACATTCATAGATATTTACAACAAAGTTCTTCAACCTAAATGTCTTTGAATTTCTCGGTAGTGGATGAGGAAATAGTCATCTCTGTCCTTTATGATCTTCAGCCCCCTGCAAACAAAGAACACCCCAGATTTGTACCATTTTTTAATGAATAATTATGTTTATAGCCAAGTGATGGTTACTTACAATCCAACTCGATGGCACAGATCTTGAGCACACTTAAGAACCATTAACATTCTATCACTCATATATCATCAAAAGTTGACCAAAAAATCACATAAATTAATCATTTCAGATAAACAAATCACATGAACTATTTATTTTAACAACAATTTTTTCATAAATAGACACATCAGACCATGAGATGAAATCAGCACACCAGAGAAATTGCCGATTTTATCAGATTTCGAGGAGAGCATTGCAGCCTTATCGTCGATTGCAACAAAAATTAAGAGAAATCAGGGACTAATGAAGAACGAGTTACATACCTGAAGAGGCGTCGAAGCTCTGATGTGCGACGGTGGCACCGGAGACGAGGACATGTAAGGATTTGAAACAATATCATAAGAAAAAAACGAGAAAAAAAGAGGGATAAATACGAACCTGATGTGGAGACGGCCGAAGATGGTGCTAGTGAGTGTGGCGACGGACGGAGATGACATTGGGGAGGGTGGCAACGACGGAAGATTGCGATGGGGAGGAAGGTCTTCGATGGCGAGGGTATGGGAGAGAGGTCGTGAGGCGAGAGAACCAAACGAACAACAGATGTGAGGAGGGCTAGAACGTCTTTTTTTTCTTTTCAGATGGGCTCTCAAGTCTGATTCGGTAAGTGGTAAAATACAGATTAAGACCCAAAAATAAGAAGGAAACAAACGTTCTGAATTATACAGATTCAGACCTACCCCTTATTAAGTGGTATTAAGATGCAAACAAACAGGGTCTTCCTTCGATTAAGAAGCTTCCGTTATTCCGATTGATACTTGGGAATTGGAATCGCACCACAATCTCACAGTCAAAACTCGAATTCTTTCCAAATGATTGTAAACTTCTACAACCAATCATACAGAGTCTTCCCGTTTCACCATCATAAACCCCTTCCGCAGATATCTCCACTCTACCATTAGAAGATAACAACGGAATCCCAGATTCCGATGTTGAATTAACAAACATTCCGAAGGTAATTTCATAACCGATGTTCAGCGTACTAATGTAACGGATGGCTGCCGAGGGTGATTCCCCTGGCATTGTTCGAGGGTGATCCCCTACAAAGCTCGGAATTGCAGAACCCATGGAATCCATGTTTCTGTACTTGACAGACATGTCGAAACTCATATCCCCATCATACCCTGAAGGATACGTCCCTTCCTTTTTAAAATAATTCCTCCGAGGGCAAAACCGTCCTATTTTCCCCCATTCCGTAAACTCATACTTCGACCCATAATTCTCCAAACTATGATCAAAGCTTTGAAACTTAACCATTTCAAAATACCCTTCATCACCCGCTTTTTTAGTTGACCAAATTTGACCTTCGGTTGCATGCGTATTCTTGATTGACCGAATTCCCGGGAACCATACGGTCAGCCTGACCGAACAATCTCCAACATGAGCACTTTCCAAAGGGTCGGTTTGATTCAAGATACGACAGGCTACTATGCAAAGCTCGTTGTTTGTTCCATTCCATGTTCCATCTCCAATTAACGTTATATTTGGATTGAAAGATTGATCATAACGACTATTCCTTCTATCTTGAAATTCCACTAAAAAACGTAACTTTTTTTCTTGTAATGAACATTGAATCGCATATAACGATAAAAAAGAAGACGAAGACGGAAAGGAAAGTGGGTACCCACTATCTTGATTCTCCAACTTGTAAGTCTTGAATTGATTTGTAAAAATCGAACATAAGTCTAAAGATTGCATACTAGCTACCGAATGTTGTTGAGAGAAATTACCATTTTGCCCATTACACTCTTCGTTAGAAACCAACAAGTAATTGTATCTGAATTGAGCCACACGAGGGAATCCGATTATCCAAATCGGCTCGAAGTAATTGGAATCGTGAACCGAAGCCAAACTCTCCAAGATTCCACTTACTAAACTATTATTCAAATTTATAAATCTAGCGAAATTAAGCTTAAGAACAGCGTTAAGAATAAGCGGATTACCCTTTTTGGAAAACCAACGAGCGGACCCCACCATACAAAGTTTGTTTGTGGAAACCGACCAGAATCCATCTAAGTGAAACACTAAAGGGTGATAGAATTGTGAATTGTTGGAATGGAATCGGTATATATTTGATGAAATGAAACTTAATTCAGCTTGGATTTTGTATGTGTTGAAAGTTTTTGTTCTGAAGTTGCTTGTGGGTGTGAAAAAGATGGACCTTTGTGAGGGGGAATCAAGGCCGAGAATGTTTTGACCACCGGTGTAATGACTGGTTACGGGTTCGAGAAACGGGTATCGAGTGAATATGGTGGTGGTCGGAATGGCTTCGGGAGCAAAGGAATTGCAGTGGTCGGAATAGGAGATTGTTTGAATTGAGGAGAAGACCGATGGAATGAGGATGAAGGTTAGGATGAAGATGGTGACGAAGGAGTTAGAAGGAAAGAGTGAAGGATTCATGGCTGGAAGCCTGGAATGGAATGAGAGATGTTTTGATGTTTGGTTGACTTAATTTTAATCTTATAGTGTAAGAGGATGCTATAATGTGATTAATTGGTTGATGTATATATATTGTGGTGATACTTTCCAAGAAACTGGCATGGGTTTTAACTTTTACGGCTAATTTGAACATTTTATTTTATTTTATCCAAAATTGCAAATTTAGTCCCTAGTTATACAAGGACTATATGATATGACTAGGGTCTAAATTAGGAGATAATGAAATATTGATTCTTAAGTAAAGCACAAGGATCATATTTGCAACAAAATACAAACTTAAGGATTATATTAGGAGATAATGAAACGCTTGACTAAACTTGCAATTTTGAGTGAAGCATAAGGACTAAGTTTTGTCTTCATTACAACTTCAATTATAATTTTGGTCTTTGTTTTCCAATTTTAACAATGGGCTACGGAAATTCTAAGGAATGAGAGTTCCATCTTTCCTATGTTTTGTTCAATTTTTGCTAATAAACTAGATTTCTTAGTGTAAAACTTTCCATCAATAGAAAGAACGTTTATTTCATTAAAATATGGAACACATTAATTTTAGGGGGTGTTTGGATAGTGAAAAAGAGGGTGTTTATTGCTTATTACCACCACAATAAGCTAAGTTTAAGTGTTTGGATAAGAATCCTTAAAAATCAGCTTATTGTGACAGAGATAAGCTAAATGAGCTGATTTTAATAAACATCTTCCCCTTGCTTATTGCTTATTCACACCACAAATAAGCTAATAAGCAATAAGCTAATAAACTATAATCTAATTTATCCAAACACCCCTTAATTCATGAGGGAAGGTATAATGTTACCATATTAATTTTAATTCATGAGGGAAAGTACAATATTACCATATTATCTTGGTAATCATCCACTTTGTACATTTGATCTTTTGACAAATACAAAGGTATTCTCATCTCATGTGGAGGTATACTAAAAAATTGAGCGGAAACATATTTGTGGTGTATTAATTTATGGTGCTATTTAAAGTTTTGCTTGCCAGTTGGGTTAGTATTTTGGTATTGCTCGCCAAATTATCGATGAAACGTCCGACTCAACCGGTAGTGTAGCAGAAGGTACTAGTAATAGCACTCAAATGAGGTGAATGACATTCACATAAATCAGTAGCACTAGAAACATGAATCATATTCACATAATTCAATGAAACTAGGTAAAATTCACTTATTTGGTTCTTTGACGATCCTTCTTTGATGCCACCATAAGTTTTTCACTGTCATTTGGATAGATGCGACCAAAACTAGAATTAATCAGATATTGAAAATACAACTTACCATAAAAAAAGGTATGTTTTGAATCATGCTTACGGATGGAGAAAGTGGCACTTGTTGCTTGAGGTAGTGACGGCGGATTCAGAAAAAAAAAGTCAGGGGCTGCACAAACTTTTTAGGGGTTGCACTACTAAAACAACTCACTTCTGAATGCAGTTTTCGTCACAAAATCGTCAATAAACCGACGAATTTACACTAAATTCACAATTATTAGACTTTGTGATAGATTGTCAACGGATTTGTGGGGGATTTCCAACGGATTTGCGACGGATTTTGACGAATTTTCACTAAATTTACATTTGATTAGAAAATTCAAGGGGTAGCCCGTGCCACCCCATGCAACATAGTCAATCCGCCCCTGATACTGAAAGCAATTTTGTTCCATAAAATGTGGAAGAAGATTGATTAAGTGAAGACAAAGAAGAATAGGAGCATTGGACTGTGTGGAAGTTTCCTTCAAACTTCAACATTGGATGATTTCTAGAATACCATTCTACACATGTGGTTTTAATTTGTCAAGAATGAGTGGTAGCATGTTTGTCAAGAATGGATGGTAGCATGTTTGTCAAGCTTGGATGGTAATAGACAATTGAATTCATACATTCATTTGCCTATAAAAGGAAATGAAACCAAGCTTATTAAAAACACCACACCTCAAATTACATCTTCATCTTTCTCTCATATTCATACAAATATATATTTGATATATTTGTTTTTCTTTCCTCTATCTCTGTAAACACTGAATATTATAGTAAATTGGTTCTCGGCTTCCTCCGCCCGTGGTTTTTCCCGATTTGGGTTTCCACGTAAATATCGCGTGTTTTTTCTTTTTATCGTTCGATTTATTCTTGGTTGATTATTCAAATAGTTTTATATTCCGTTGAATCGCTATCGTGATATTTGGGTTTTATACTTCGATCTTGAAGTTATCGATTATTTATTGTAGTCGATTTGTCTACAATTGGTATCAGAGCTATCCGGGTTTTCCGATAACGATTCGTAAAAACTATTTTCAACCATGTCATCGATGAAGTACGATATTCCTTTACTTGACAGAAACACAAGATTCCCTCTCTGGCAAGTAAAGATGTGTTGATCCAAATGGATCTCCACAAAGCACTATTAGGAATGGAGAAAATGCCGGCAACTTGGTCGACTGAGGAAAAGGAGATGAAAGATCTGAAGGCGTCGTCGCAGATCCGTCTGCATCTTTCTAACGACGTTCTCCAAGATGTGTTGAAAGAGACATCCGCAGCGGCTCTCTGGCTAAAACTCGAGCAGCTACTTATGACGAAAAGCTTGCCCAACAAGCTACACTTGAAGCAACGACTTTTTAACCTAAAGATGGGTGAAGGTAGTTCTTTGTCTGATCACCTCTCTACCTTTAAAGAGCTTGTAGGAAATCTGGAGAATATGGACGTCAAATACGAAGATGAAGACTTGGCGTTATTTTTATTATCTTCTCTCCCAGACTCCTATGATCACTTTCGTGACACCATTATCTATTCTCGGGACACTCTTGTCCTTGACGAGGTAATGACTGCTCTTGATTCAAAGGAAAAGATGAAGCAGATAGTTGGGAACAGTAGCAGCGATTCTAAAGTCGAAGGTCTCAACATCAGAGGGAGACCTAACGAGAGAGGTAGCTCTTCACAAAACCGATCTAGATCTAAGTCCAAAGCCAATCGCAAGTATTGCAATTATTGCCACAAGAAGGGACATCTGATCGATGAATGTTTCAAGTTAAAGAACAAGGAGAAAGCAAAGGCAATCGCAAAGGGAAAAACAACCAATAACACCGTTGAAGCCGATGTTGCCGAAACTGGTTCCGATGGCGAGCTTCTATCCGTTTCAGACTACGGTTTAATGACCACGAGTGAGTGGGTACTTGATTCAGCGTGTACTTTTCATATGAGCTCCAACCGAAGCGTTTTTCATTCATATGAAAAGGTTAACGAAGGCCACGTTCTAATGGGTAACGACACTTCGTGTCGTATTATTGGACGGGGTACACTCAGGTTCCGCATGTTCGATGGCGTTGTTCGAACGATTCAAGATGTGAAGCACGTATCCGGTCTTAGGCGAAATTTACTAAGTCTCGGTACTTTCGAGAAGAAAGGTTACGGGTTTGTTGGCAAAGACGGGAAACTCCATATTTTCAAGGAAGGTTCTGTGGTCATCCGAGGAGTTAGAAAATCCGCAAACCTTTACATTATGGATGGGCAAGTTATCTCCGGCGAAGTCTCAGTATGTTCTAAATCCCTCTCCAACGTTGATCGCTCTCGTTTATGGCACCTCAGGCTTGTTCACATGTCATACCATGGTATGAATGAACTAAGTCGAAGGGGGTTGCTCGGGGAGCACAAATCAATCGAACTTGAATTCTGTAAAGATTGTGTATTTGGAAAGCAGAAGCGAGTGAGTTTTATCGGTGGCAAACATACGACGAAAGGGCCACTTGACTACATACACTCTGATTTATGGGGACCAGCGAAGGTTACATCGAAAGGTGGAGCCTCTTATATGCTCACGATCATTGACGATTTCTCAAGAAAGGTATGGTCGTTCTTCTTGAAGTCAAAGGGAGAAGTATTCCAAACTTTTAGAGATTGGAAAGTATTGGTTGAAAAGCAATCAGGTTTTGAAGTGAAATACCTTCGTACTGATAATGGACTGGAATTTTGTTCTGAAGAATTCAACTCCTATTGCCGTAGGGAAGGAATTACGAGGCATCGCACCGTAGTTCATACACCACAGCAGAACGGCGTAGCGGAACGTATGAACCGCGCCGTCATGGAGAAGGTCCGATGCATGCTATCTCATTCGAAGTTGCCGAAGTCTTTTTGGGCCGAGGCCGCTTCAACCGCATGCTACATTATCAACTGTTCCCCTTCTCGTGCTATTCAAAAGAAGACCCCATTTGAGCTTTGGTCCGGCCAACCTGCTGATTACACGAAATTGATTCCATTTGGATGTCCAGCATATGCCCGAGTTGATAACGGTAAATTGGAACCGAGGGCAATTAAATGCGTCTTTCTCGGATATCCGACAGGTGTTAAAGGGTTCAAATTATGGAGCCCGGAGCTAAGCAAGGTTTTGACATCTAAAGATGTGACCTTCGATGAAAAAGCCATGCTTCATCCTGTCTCCAACATTCAGACCAGAGAAAATGAAAATTCGGAAAAAGACAAAGTTCGAGTGGAGGTGGAGTTTCCTTTAAATTCATCTTTCGAGGACCAGTCTCATGAACGTGTCGAGGTTTCTCAACCCTCGAATAATCAACATTCCTCTTCTCATGAGCTAGCCGAAGCTCCAAGCCGACCTCACAGTCCCTCCATTGCAAGAGATAGACCTCGCAGACAGATTGTACCTCCAAAGAGATATGTTCAAGCCAATTCTGTCGCTTATGCACTTACAGTTGCCAATGAAGTTGAGTCTGTTCTGGAGCCCACAAGCTACAACGAGGCCATTCAATCCAAACATTCTAATAAGTGGATGGTTGCCATGCACGAGGAGATGGAATCTCTTCAGAAAAATGGCACATGGGATCTCGTTCCAGCTCCAAAGGGTAAGAAGACAGTTAAGTGCAAATGGGTCTACAAGTTGAAGGAGGCTATCCACCCTGGTGACAAACCAAGATATAAAGCTCATTTGGTAGTCAAAGGCTACAGTC